TGCCTCCATATTCCAGTCTGTTACGTCTTGTCAAGTCTTGTTGAAGCAAAAATGAGTAAATACAACTCAAGTTTTCCACATCTTTCTTACAGTTCATAGAAGAGCTACAGTTATGGATGTAGCACATTTCTATGAAATTTCTCTTGAATTGGTTGTCAACCTTTTTTAGTACTTTCACATTGTCATAGTTGGCAATGTGTCCAGTATTCTTAATATGTTGGCTAAAAGCTGTACTTATAGCTTTCCTCACAACATCACTCTTGTGCAAAGCTATTCTTTTTGAAATCTGCCTTTTTCTGGCTGGTTTGACCGATATACACTTCCGAACAGGAACCACTTGGAATATAATACATTGAATACATTGAAGTTATCCAGTTTTATACCTCTTTCTGTCAGGTGAGTGAAATATGTCCCTAATCTTTTGTACACTGAATTTGCTATCACTATGTTAACTGTCTGAAATGGTTTGTGATCTGTGGTGATAAATCCCTGATGTAAGGCAATCTCCCATAGAAAAATTCTACTGTTTCTCCTTCTAATGTTTGCCTTTGGTGTGTTCTCGTTGTTGGTAGTTCTTGGAAGAGCAATTTGTTCAGCAGCATCTTAGGATAGTGATTTCTTCTAAGAATCTCATAAAGTAACTTGATGTTCTTATTGTAGTTAGAAGGGTGACAAATTCTTTTTATTCTGTTTTTCAGACCTTTCATGATGTTAATCTTCTGTTCATCTGGGTGATAAGAGTGAAAAGAACATATCTACCTGAGAATGTTTTCTTTCTGTAGATCGGATTGACATAAAGTTGTAGTTTTTGGTTGTTTTGAGATGTTTTTGTGTTGTATTTGTAAAAATACCCTTTTATGTTGTAATGTTTTTATTTAAAATTTTAAATTATTTTTTAACTTATTTTATGACACTGTTCGCTACAAGGACTAACTGAACATCTTCAATGTAAGTTTTATATGCTACCTTCCACCACTTGTACTAAATAAGTTTTCCATTTATGTGCTGATGAAGGTGACAGCCTATCACCGAAAATTTCACATTTCGAATAAATTTCTACACCAAACTGGATTATACCATCTTTAGCCAATCCTTTACCTGATGCTTTCCCGATAGTTATCTACCAAAGAAGTGTATTCTTAGCGTCGTTATATATACTATATCTCGATTAGATCTGTCTAATGATACTAAAACTGTGTCAAAAACTACAGCCTATTATCATTAAACACAATATACAGGGTGTTTCAAAAAAAGGTAACCCCGTCTCTAGGGTAGGTAAAAAACTGAAAAATAATTGGGGTTTGCTTAGTAAAAAATTTTTGTAACGCCATCGTTTTCAAGATACAGGGCGTTGAAGAAAAAAAATTTACGCATTTTTTACGATTTTGCCGAAACTACTGGCAACATTGTAATGAAATTTTATACGAATATGTTTTGGAAGCTGATACATCCCATGAATTTGATTTTATATCTGATTCTCATAGAGGGCGCTAGTTACACGGATCGTACTAAATATTAGTCAATATAATTTTTTAAGAGTATAATTATTAATCAAAATTTCAAGTAAACTTAAACATCATTCAATTTTACACGAAAAAGGTACTCTTGGTAAAACTCGATACTGTGTACCGTTTTCGGAATATTTTGATTTGAAAATTCTGAAGTAATAATTGATGCTGGTAGTAATAATAAAGTTCTAATAGGTATACCTCTATTCTTCTCTAAGTGTGCCATGGAAATCTGACATTTATTGATTGTTATGACGATAAATCAACAATAATTAGAGTTTTGAAACCTTGTTATTTGAAAAATCAAATCAAAATGTACTCAAATGTTGAATACACTGACATGTTATTAACCTTAGGCGAATGTTTAGGATGTTCTAGTGCAGCTGTGACACGTTATGCAGAAAAGTTTCCTAGAAGAAACTTACCAAGTAAAAAAACATTTAGAGCCGTTGAACGACGTTGTCGAGAAACTGGGAATGTGAGACCAAATAAAATAAATTCTGGTAGACCAAGAACAACAAGAACAATTAATAAAGAAAATAATATTTTAAATTTACTTGATCAAGATCCAACAGTTAGCGTAAGGAATATAGCAAGACAAACAAATACTTCTTCTTCAAGTACTTGGCGGATACTGAAAGAACAGCAATTACATCCTTATCATTACAGACAAGTCCAAGAGCTCTTGCCAGATGATCTACCGGTTAGAGTGGATTTTTGTGAAACATTGCAACAAAGGACAGCCCACAATCCAAATTTTTTAAAATGCATTCTTTTTACGGACGAGGCCACCTTTACGCGACAAGGTATGTTTAACTCCCATAATGCACACTACTGGTGTGATGAGAATCCACGAGTCAAAACGGTATCACATTACCAACACTCATTTAAAGTTAATGTTTGGGCAGCAACTTTAGGTAACAAATTAATAGGTTATCATATTCTACCTGGGAATTTAAATGGTGATATGTATCTTGATTTTTTAAACAATTCCTTATTCGAGATTAATGGATATAATATTCAAAGTTAATGGAATCTTTAGAAAAAAGAATAGACTTGTGTATTCGCAAAAACGGAGGGCATTTTAAACACTTACTGTAATTGAATTTTATTTTATGTTCTTAATTATTAATTTAATTTTCTTTTTGTGAGTTTTGTTTAATTACTAACTATTTTATACCAGCATCAATTATTACTTCAGAATTTTCAAATCAAAATATTCCTAAGACGGTACACAGTATCGAGTTTTACCAAGAGTACCTTTTTAGTGTAAAATTGAATGATGTTTAAGTTTACTTGAAATTTTGATTAATAATTATACTCTTAAAAAAGTTATATTGACTAATACATAGTACGATCCGTGTAACTAGCGCCCTCTATGAGAATCAGATATAAAAACTAATTCATGGGATGTATCAGCTCCCAAAACATATTCGTATAAAATTTCATTACAATGTTGCCAGTCATCATTCAGCCCATACTCGTCCACTGCTGAACATAGGCCTCCCGTAGTTCGCCCCACAAATTTCTGTCCTGAGCCGCCCGCATCCAATTTTGATGTTTCCGTTTCAGGTCATCCGTCCATCTTGTTGGTGGTCGTCCTCTATTCCTAAAGGCACCTTGTCTGGGTCTCCACTCAAGAATGCGTTTTGTCCATCTGCCGTCCTTCTTTCTCGCGACGTGCCCTGCCCAGTTCCATTTTAAGGTTGATATTCTTTTGATTGCGTTGGTTACTCCCGATCTACGGCGCAATTCTGTGTTGGGTATTCGGTCTCTCAGGGTTAATCCCAACATGGACCGTTCCATTGCCCTCTGTGTTGTTCGAATTTTGTTTGCGGACGTCTTAATAAGTGTTAATGTATATAGTGAAAGCATCTGTCAGGAAGCCCTTTTACAAGCAAACGGAGGAATCGTAATTAATGGAGAGATTGTAAATAATATTCGATACGCGGACGACACTGTACTAGTTGCAAGAACAGTAGAAGAATTACAAAGATTACTTACAGACATAAATATTGCTTGCAACAATTATGGTATAAATATCAATATTAAAAAAACCAAGTATATGGTCTTCAGTAAAAACATGACACAACCAGCGTATATTAGTATAAACGGCACTCAAGTTGAAAAAGTATCAAGTTACAAATACTTGGGAACTTTAATAAACGAAACTGGAGACCAAAACAGTGAAATAAAAAGACGTATCGAAATTGCCAGGGCCACCTTCATAAAGATGAGAAAATTCTTCTGCAACAGAAATATAAGCATCCCTCTACGATTAAGAATGCTGAGAGGCTATGTATTTAACACGCTATTATACGGTGTAGAGGCCTGGACTCTCAAACAGAACAACATGAAAAATATTGAAAGTTTCGAGATGTGGTGCTACCGTCGAATGCTGAAGATTAGTTGGGTTGAAAGAATAACAAACTGTGAAGTAATACGAAGAATAGGAAAAGACCCAGAGATTTTGTTAACGCTAAAGCGAAGAAAACTCGAATATTTTGGTCACCTGATGAGAGGACATAAATACGCATTACTTCAAAATATAATGCAGGGAAAAATAGAAGGAAAACGGAATCCAGGCCGTAGAAGAATGTCATGGTTGCGGAATTTGAGAGAGTGGTTTGGCTGCACCACTAATGAACTCTTTAGGTCAGCCGTAAACAAGGTCAGAATAGCCTTGATGATTTCCAATCTCCGATAGGAGTGGCACAAAAAGAAGAAGAAGTAAGTGTTAGCGTCTCCGCACCATAGGTTAGAACCGGCAGCACACATTAATCAAAGACTTTTCTCTTCAAGCAGATGGGAAGAGCTGATTGGAAAACATCTCTTAGCTTTCCATAAGCTGCCCATGTCAACCATATTCTACGTATTAGTACATGTTGCCAGTAGTTTCGGCAAAACCGTAAAAAATTCGTAAATTTTTTTTCTTCTTCAACGCCCTGTTTCTTGAAAATGGATGGCGTTACCAAATTTTTTTACTAAGCAAACCCCAATTATTTTTCAGTTTTTTACCTACCCTAGAGACGGGGTTACTTTTTTTGAAACACCCCGTATAATGAAACTGATTTTTTAACTCAAAGAACTTAACCGTTCAAATACTCATGACTCGTATGAACGCAGTCTTGTATCCCGTAAAGAACGATCTTTCTCTAAAAACTATTAGCCATTCTCTACCGACTGTACGTTGTAAACTAATTAACCCTAATTGTTGAAATAACTTCTTTGTAACATTCCACTGCAGATGCCGGCGAAGGCTAATGACAATACGATCTGCGATGTGTATTTTACCATGTTTATAATAAAAGTTTATGAAACGGCATGCAACTGTTAAGTGAAGCTGAGAACGTAATATCCAAGTTTTGTTTAACACCTTTCTCAACTGAGATCTGGGAAGTGTTCCTTTAAATTACTTTTTCAAGAGTAAACTGTAAAATAGGGTGGGTGGGTAAAAATTAAAAAAAAAATAGGGTATGTAATATTAAAAAAATGTGAAAGTTTACCACTGAGTTCTTCTTCGGCCTATATTCGTACACTGGTGGATATAGGCCTCTTTCATTTGCTTCCATTGATTTCTACTCTTGGCAATTCTCATCCACTGCTTGCCCGTGACTTGTTTGAAATCATCTGCCCACCTCTTCTGTGGTCTGCCTACTCCTCGCCTGTTCTCTCTTGGTCTCCAGTTTGTTAATCTCTGTGTCCATTTTTCGGGATTATCTCGGGCAACATGTCCGACCCATTGCCACTTGAGCCTTGCTATACGTTCTGCGACATCAGTAATCTTTGTTCTTTCACGAATGTCGATATTTCGAATCCTGTCTCTCAAACTAATCCCTAGCATGGCCCCTCGATCGCTCTTTGGGTTGTACTGAGCTGATATCAGAAAACCTCTCAAAGGTTTTCTTTGTAAAGGTCATGGTCTTCAGTCCATATGTAGTTACAGTCAAGATAAATTTGTCATAAGTTTTAGGACACATGGGTATGTCTTTATTCTTCAAGATAAAGCTTAACTTGCCGAAAGCTACCCAAGTATGTGTTTTATTATTTCGGCTATTTGGTTTTCTTTGCCGATTTTAATGGTATGTCCAAGATAGATACAGATTGAACGAAATAAATTCGGAACATACGAAATATTATGTATTTCGGCTCAATTTTGCTGTAGGTGGTTGGCCAACAAAAGGTTGTCAAATAATTATATTATAAAAATCCAATACTTCATCGGGCTGCTGGATTCTGAAATCATAAAAATTGAAAGCTACACATAAATCTACGATTTTATTATGCTGTCAAACCAGTTATCGCTTCTTTAGACAAGCCCTTCTGTGAGCGGTGTTGCCAACGTCATTCCTTTAAATGTTTCTCAAATAAGGTGTTATCCATAAAATATTTACAAGAAAAAAAGAAAATAACTACAAACCATTAAGTTTATTTTTGTTATTAGTCTGTTGTAGTAGATTGGTAAATACAATGAAAAATATAGGCAAATATCCGATTTATTTAAAGATACGAAGAAGATATAACTCTCAAAAAGATCCGCAAATCGGATTATTACACGGCGATTGGCAACATTGTTACGCAAACAACATTGTTGCGAAACAGATAGTTGAACGATATTTTATACAATGTCTAAACCCAGGTATGGATTTATTTTTGTCCAAGTTTTATATTGGTCCACTATTTCAAATGCAGTTCAAACAGACATATATTAAATTGTATGATCCGTTTCAAATTTGTTCAATCTGTATAGTGGTCTACATTTTCATGACTGACGTTGTCAATAACAATATTAGTTTGTAAATTACTCATTATTTTTGTTTTCTGAAGATTCATTTTAAGACCAATTTTATTTGACTGCTGATTTAATTCCTTGAGCATTTGCTCCAATTCCTCGATATCTGTACTAAATAATACTTTGTCGTCCGCAAACCTCAAATGACTCAAACGTACACCATCAATGTTTAGACGTTTTTGCTCCCAGTCGAGCTGTTTGAATACGTTTTCCAATGCTTTGGTAAAAAGTAAAAAGCTTTGGTGAAATAGTATCACCTTATCTAATACCTTTACCAAGACGCATTTTTTCAGTTTTTTCGTCTTCATTGATTTTGATCCGGAATATGTCCTGTTCATAAATATTCTTAATAAGTGTAGTGTACCGTGAGTCTATTCGAGCATCCCTCAGGGCTGACAAAAAGGACCAATTTTCAATACTATCGAAAGCCTTGTGAAAGTCCATAAAAGGTATAAAGTTCTTTATACATTTACTGCTTTTCTGGTCAACTATAAATGCCACTCCATTATAATGGTGAGGATCGTCATTACCAGCATAGTATATTACACGGTAATCGATGTTTGTCTGTCCAGATCCAGGCCACCTAACTTCACTGACTCTTTTCACTGAGATTTTCCTGGCATAAAGAGAGATTTTGCATTCCAGGTTCCATACTCTATTTCATCGAAAGTTTTTGGAATAGTATTTTTTGCTTTAGAATAGTATTATTGGTGTCATGAATGTGAAAGTCGGAAAAGGAAAGGAAATGTTATAGAAGAATAACAGGGGACAAAATTTACATAAGGAATCAAATGAAAACGGGAAAAAGTTAATAGAATTTGCTACAGAAAACAAAATGAAGATAACTAGCACAAGGTTTGATCACAAAGACATTCTGGACTTCTTTCGATGGAAAAATAAAAAATCATATAGATCACATCCTAATTGAAAGCAAACATGATAAGGCAATAATCGCCTGCAGGAGTTACAGAGGGGTAGATAGCAACAGTATCATACTCTAATAATAGCAAGAACTACCAATAATACCAAAACCTGTTAGAGATAAATTAAATAACCAATTAGAGCTCATTCAAAAGAAGCAGGTTGTAAACAGACTAGAAGAAGAAATAAATAAAAAAAACTAGACAATCCAGTCAAACAGGATATAGATGAAAAATGTTGGACCATACAGACAGCCATGTCGGAAGCAGTGGAAAATTGTATAGAAAGAGAGCATATAAAAAGGCGGCAAGATTGGTTCGATGAAGAATGTAAGAATGTTTTGGCAAGAAGAAACAGGGCAAAACTACAAAGAGATAAAGACAATACCCAAAATGTGATCGAAAACTATGTGGCAAGAAGAAGGGAAGTGAAAAGAATTTGCACAAAAAAGAAAAGAGAACAGCTAGAAAAGCAATTGAAAAACATAGAAGAAGCCTACATAAACAAAGAAGTAAAGAATTTCTACCAAGAAGTTAAGAAATCCAGAAAAACTACAAAGAATAATCCACAGTATTGCAGAAACAAAGAAGGCTTACTTCTAGGTGAAACAACAGAAAAATTAAACAGATGGGCGAATATTTCGAAGATCTATTAAATACAGACCAACAAGAGGAATTTGAGAGAAATGAAAATTGGCAAGAAGATGAAGAAGGGACGTGCGAGGAACCAACTCTGAATGAAGTCAAAGAAATAATAAGAGACCTAAAAAATAACAAAAGTGCAGGAGAAAGTGGTATCCCAGTTGAGATTTTTAAGGAAGGTGGCGAAAGATTGAAGGAAAGGATATTTCACTTGACACTAATAATTTGACAAAAGGAATAATAGGGTAATAATGGAAGGAAGCTTTTTAAGACTGTTCACAGTGAATAGAGGTTTAAAACAAGGGGATCGGAATTTAATCAACCAAGTATTAGAAAAAATCGTAAAAAGATAAAATATAAGCACATGTAGGACTATTTTCAATAGCAGGGAACAGTGCCTAGCATACGCGGATGATGTGGTGATACTAGCGAGAACAAAAAAATATTTAGAAAAGTTTTCCAGAAATTTGAAGAAGAAGCGAAAAGATACGGATTAATAATAAACCAAACAAAAACGCAATATATGGAAATGAGAGGGGACATAACAAATAATAACAAATATATCAAAATGAAAGGAGCAGAAACTACTATAGTTTTGAAAAAGTGCCAAAATTTGAATACTTAGGAGTAACCATAACGAACACGAGAAAAGAAAAAAAAGAGAGAAACAAAAGATTAATGAAGGGAAGGAGAGCGACAGGGTCACTAAACACATTACTGAAAGCAAAAAATGTGTCAAGAACAGCTAAACTGCGAGTCTACGAGACAGTAATCAGACCCACAGTGATGTATGCCAGTGAAATGTGGATTATGAACCAGCAGGAAGAAAAGAAAATAGAGATCTGGGAAAGAAAGGTGCTCAGAAAAATCTTCGGAGGAATAAAGACGACAGAGAATATTTGGAGAAGATGAACGAATAAAGAAATAATGAGCATTTGTGGAAAACCATCAATTACTATTGTTCTGAAGCTATTTTCTTGTGGCATTGTAAATTAATTACTATTTATAACTGGGAATAAGCCACATTAATAATGTGGCTTATTCCCAGTTATAAATAGTCATCAATTACTGTTACTAAAAAAATGGGGAAAAAATAGGACGTCCAAAGAAGAAGTGTTTGGAAGAAGTAAAGCAAGACTGTCAAAAATAGGCGTGAGAAATTGGAGAGAGAAAGCAAGGGACCGATAAAATGGAGGGAAATAACCAAGTTTTTAGAAGCCAGGGGCCTATGTATTAAAATGGGCATTTCTACATCTTCTATAAAAACTGCAATCTGAGAAACAAATGTGTGGGAGAAGTCAATAATTTTAACTCCGAATCGTATATTGGGGCTTTATCAATCAATTTGCAAACGTGTTTGCTTTTTTAATTCTTCGATAAGACTGCGAACCAAGAATTTGAGAGTTTTCCATGCCTTTTCTTGACTTAGAACCCTTACCGCTTGCGTGGGCTAGCGAAAAGACACGTAGTTCCATAAATAAAAGGGTTTTTATAGAGTTTTTAATATGAAACAGTAATGATTATTTTGCCTACCACATTAGGATCATTATAGGGGGTAGAAAATTGGGGACAGAAATTACTTTGGTGGAGATAATGTCAGCAAAATAAACCGGAACATTTGCGGACAATTAATCAGGGTTTTTTTGAAGAGCTGGGTCGTGAGAAAGTGAATGACACAAGGGGACTGGAATAATTAGACAGGAAGTAACTACAACAATGAAACAAAAAGGGATACTTACATGAATCTCCTGGACAAACACAATACAAGAAGGTTCTTAAGCTAGTCGGACGCCGCTTACAAGAATCTTCCTGCTGTGTGCTTTTCGTTCCCGAATTACACTAAATGTTATTTTTTTTCCTTTAAAAGTTCTGGGGTTGGAACTGGACTCAGTTTTACTGCAACACAAACAAATACATCTCACACTAATGACGGACAAACAAAATGACGGTGGAAGCTGGGCACTGGGACGCAGACTTTGAAACTTGGCTTCTTAAAAACTCGAACTCAATGGAACAATGTGGGTATCCTTCAAAGTTGTTGGAAACGCTGTTTTACAAATCCCTCAGATCAGAGACGGCACGAAACAAAACAGTGATTACTCTTGCAAAAACTGACACATTACATTCGAGTAAAACTCACTTTTTTACAACAAATTTGCTGGTTCCTTCAGACTACCCACGCCGCGTCCTCTCCAACAAAACAAATCTCCAACCCAACCTACAAGTTGACCTCGATCTCCGTTGTACCGGCTTTCTCTGTTGCGTCTCACCCCTCGTATCAGTCAAAGGGACTAGCTAATTTTAAAACGCAAAATATGAATTATTTTACTTCGCAGTGGAATTTTTTTTCGATGTCTTCAGACGTTTACTTCACAATTTAAACAGAAACTAAACGAAATTTTATACATAACCTAGGGGCGTACCAAAAAATTTTATACCTTAAATATTCGATAGTTATAAGGAATTTATACATGCTACAAAACAAGCATAAACAGTACTTAATTACAATTCAAAAACAAGAGAAACTTAAGAAAGCCTCGAGAAAATGGCCATAATACACTTGTTCAGAACGAAGATGCAAATGATAATCCCTTTAGTGAAGAAGAATCAGATTAGGATCCAATCTGTAAATACAATACATTTTGGAGACGGCTATCGTCGTATTCCCGTTCTCCTCCGCCAATCCTCCCGGTCCAAGACATGCTTCTCCACTAAACCTCTCGATTCCATCGCTCTTCTAATTCCTTTATTCAATGAGCGTGGAGGTGTACCTCTTATTCTTTTTCCAGGGGGCTTCCACCTGTGAAATTTTTGGGGCCAACGTTCGTCAGGCAGTCAGGCATTCTCAATAGGTATAGAAACCATTTTAAACCCCTTCTTTCTATTCTATCAATGACTTTCTGTAGCATTCATATTATTTCTTAAAATTATATTTTAAGAAATATCACCCTTTAACATAACTTGTAATATTAAATAAAACTTCTGAGCTCTGGGTAATAATTTAGTTTTTAATTTTGGTGATAATTTGTCCATCCAGATGAGTAAATCGACAATTTACAAACTACTAGCCAACTACTATAAAAATTTCGTGAATAAAACCACGAACTTTTCTGTTTTATTAGCAGTAACATCAGAATGAACCAAAATTTTTAACAGTGTGGTTTAAAACTAGTTTTCTTAGGTTAGGATTGTACAAATACCGCTGTCTCCCTCCATTACTTAGATCTTACGTTCTAAAACCGAGAATCGTAAAGATTTTTATAGAGAAATAAACTCCTCCCATTTCATTCGCCTTACATTCAACGTGGCTACAACTCTAATAGAAGTTTTATTCTCTGAGATAATGGCTAGGTGTAAACATCTGGTCATTGCGACACTAAAACGTGTCGTAAAGGAGTGGTAATTCAAGAGATTATTTGAATATTTCGCACGGCGTATGGTGGAGTAGTTCGAATTAGAATGACACGGTGTTTGTATTGTTGAATGATTGAGTTATTATTTACGAATTGTTGCATTCGTTTACGTATGTATATAACGTATGAGATATAAGTTTGAGGCCTCTGCAATACAGTACAACCTGCCACATCCGGATCAATGTGGCGGCCTACCGACCTGGATATGAAAACATCCGGATATCAAGACTACTTAAAAATATGTAGCTGTAAACGGCCTGAATTTTTTACAATACATAGTTTATAGCGTTTTAGGCATTTAATATCAGGGCTAAAATACAATATATAAATACATTACACATATCCTCCTCCTCAGTCCTAATCACTTTTGGGATGTGGTGACACCATCAGGTCTTTACAGTTTTCTCACAATTTCCCTCCATCCTTCCCTGTTCTGGGCTAGTTGTTCGGCTTCATGTAACTCTTGGTTAATCAATATTTTTGTTTGATCTACCCAACGACTTGGAGATCTTTCCGTAGGTCTCTTTCCTTCAACTCTACCCTCGACTATCAGTTTTTCCATCGTACCTGTTCTTCTAGCAATGTGTCCAAAAGACTGCAAATATCTCTGTTGTATTTGTTTCAGCAATACTTTGTTGTTCTAATATCGATACGTTAGTGTGATGATCAATCCAGGATATTCTTAACATGCCGCGGTATCCTATCGTGATATTTGTCTTACACCTATTTATCTTTAGTCCATATGTTATCCATATGGACGCTTGTTCTTCTGATATCTGAGGCAATAGAAAAGCTTTTAGTCTTTCATTTATTACATAAAGTAGAACCTTGCTTGCATGGGATATTAGGGTTACCGTTCTGTAGTTGCTGTAATCTAGCGGAGTTCCTTTTTTGAATATAGGGATGAAAGTGATTGTTGTCCAGTCGTTGGGCCACTCTCTGCTTTCCCAAATCTTTTTGCAGATCATATGCATAACATTTACTCCAACATCTTCAGTCTCTTTTAAAACTTCTGCGGTGATCTGGTCTGCGCCAGGAGATTTTCTATTTTTCAACTTTTTGATTGCTTTTTCTACCTTTGACTTTAGAATGTTTGGTTCTCTCTCTGCAGTGAAGTGGTCGTGATTAGAATTCTGGGGATCATCTGCATATAGACTTTGACAATATTTTCTCCATACTTCTGCAATCCCTTTCTCGTCATTTATAATATGTTGATTTTGATCCATTATTGTTTGTGTGATTGGTTTAAATTCCTGGATAGATATCAGACTTTGTTATATAGCTCAAATGATTCATACCGGTTTGCATGTCTCTCTAGTTCTTCGAATTCTTCATTTATATGTTTATTTTTATCATCCTTACATGCTCTTTTAATTTCTCTATTTAACTTTACTAATTCGTTTTTGTTGCTGTCGTTTTGATATATGAAAGATTTGTTTCTTCTTCGCTCTTCGAGAATGCAACGTTCTGTCTGTCTTTCAGCGTTTTCTTTTGATGATCTTTTTTTCGGTTCTGGTTCTTTCTACAGAGGTTTCTATGGCATGTCTGAAACCTTTCTACATTTCTTCTGGGTTGTCTTGTGTGTTCAACATACTAGTTTCCTTTAACACATCTCTAAATGTTTACGGATTTGAAATCCCCAACCTGTTTTGATTTTGGAGCGGCATAGTTCTTTTTAGCTTCATCTTGAAGCAAGCCCATAACAATTTATAATCGGATCCACATTCAGCTCTTGGTCTAGTTTTACGTTTGTAAAACATGTCTTCCATCTGTTTCTAATCAATATGTAGTCGATTTTGTTCTTGTATTCTCCATTTGGGCTGATCCACGTCGATAAACGACGGTCATGATGTTGGAACATTGTGTTTACAATGGTCAAACAGTTTTCGGTTGCAAAATCTATTAAACCTTCGCCTCGGCTGTATCTGATAACTAACCCATGGTTTCCTACATTTTGGATGTTATCATTTCTTGTTTCTCCTATCTTAGCTTTAAAATCGCCCATGGTTATGAGTGGTTCTTTAGATGAAATATTTCTTATTGTGTCTTCAATAACGGAGTATACGTCTTCCACTTCATTGTCTAACACGTCCGAGGTTGGCATATAGGCCTGAAGAATGTGCATTTTGTTTGGTGATGCTAGTAAGGTTATTTTTATAAGTCTATCATTTATCGGTTGGTAATGAAACACGTACTGTGAGACATCCCTGGTTGTTTTTACCAAGAAAAACGATCGATAATATAGGAAGTTTTTTTAAAATATTTCGACGAAGTTAATTGTATGTTATAAATATTTCAAGTTTTTTTCTGACAAGATAAGGCAAAAATATATATATGTTTTGTTTCTGTTACAAAGTCAGGTAGAACTATTCCGGTTAGAAAAATCAATATAATACGTGTTATTCCTTCATATTTAAAAGTAGTTTATTTGAAAGTTTAAAAAACAAGAATTTTAAGGTAAAGAGGGTCGCCCACGCCGATATTAGATTTAGGTCAGGAGGGGAATTATTTTGCGTTTGTGGTTTGAAATCGAACGAAGGTTAGGCAGGTTAAAAAGAGCAACGAAGCAGGCAGGTGATATAGGGCAGCTCGAGTTGAAAGGACTTGGACATTTTTAATAAACAGCTGGTAAATCTGTGTAATGGGTTAATTAACCAGACCTGTAAAAAGTGGACTCTCCGTAAATATGACGGATTAGCATAGAGAAACCACTAAAAGGATTTGTGCAGTATACCAGAACATGGTAAAAATTTAAAGCAGTACATAGGGTGTGCCACCAGCTTCGTTTGTCATCTGTTTGCCCCAACCTCGTTCCTGAGTATAGACACCGAACAATGGTTTCCTGTGTTCCAGTTAGAGAATTTGTACAAGTAGCTTCCCCAGAGATGTAGCAAGTTTTTTTTAGTTGAGTGGCGAAATATGTAAATTTTAAGGTAACAATTCAATATATTAATTTTTCAAAGTAAAGACAGACATTTTTTTGGCTAAAGTAATAATTGCTTTCATAACAAATTAAAAATTGTAATATGTATGGTTATGCTGTTAATCTATTTGTTCTTTGTCATCAAAATTAAATGTGACACCTGACAGCTAGCTTTAATTTGTTTTTTTTTGTTGTGACAATTTTAATTTGACTATTATGTAGAAAAGATATTTCATACATAAGGTTAAATTTTATTATGTTTTCATTAAAAAGGATCCTTAATTTTTAATAATCTAATTTGGTCATATCATAACCTAGGAACCATTTCAGAATTTTATAGCAATCTCCTTTGTAAACAAATAAGCACGTAAGTTTTTGCTAATTTTTGTATTATGTTTGTATAATATATTCTTGTAAAATCTGTATTTTTGATAATTGTTTGTTTGAGACAAAAATAAACGTTTAATTTGTTTCTCTGATCTATTCTGTTTATGTTTTGATCTATTTTTTTATGTTATGATGCTCTATAATTATTTCCCTAGTTACAACTAGTGGTTGTAATAGGTATAATTAGGCACCTCAAGTGGCGCCCTATATTAAATTCCTTGAGGTGTTTCCTGTTTATTTTTATTTTGTTTATCCCAAGAGATTAAGTACCACTTTATTTTTTTTGTAGTTGCCCCAATCCAACCCCCATATCTTCAACTTATCCACGACCCAGCTCTCCAACAACCAACTGAGTGCCGTACGCACTAGTTCCGATTATTTTGTTGGCCCAATCTTGTCCCCCATGTTCTTACCCTGTGGTAAGCAAAACAGTCGTTACAAATTGCAACACTATTTCTTCCTATGTTATTTGCTCCCGATATGTATACAACATGATCAGCCGTTCGGAAGTGTCCTTGTCCTTTCCAATGGGTCTCCAAAAGTCCGCATATTTCTATATCCTGTCTTTCGATTTCTCGTTGTAGTATGCAGTTTACCTGGTTGCAATAATACTCGAACATTCCAGGTTGCTATTCCCATTGCTTTTCTTAACTGAAAATCTGATTTTCTTCCAGGCGCCAATTGCGTTGCTCACAAACACATGCTTGATAGCTCATTTAACACTAACCAACTGAGTGCCGATCGCTAATCTGATCGCTAAGTATATCTAACATTACATAGATAAGAAAGGTAAAATAAAAACCTAAACATTATAGAGTTTTGAAGCCCTATTTCTATTCGTATAAACAAAAATTAAATGTTTATAAACTTAATACATAGATACTATATGCTACATACTAAAAACAAAAGAAGCGATAACTCTCATCAATTTTAAGAGCATCACCTCACTTGAAGTTTCTTCTTGACTTTCAACGTAGCACAGCATACCTTAGACTTCGACCTTCGGAGTGGTTCATTACGACCGGATTTTTGTCATTGCTTTCACCCCCTTCGTTGTCTGAGTTTATTTCATCATTCTGGCATACCTTGTTCAATATATCGTTATCTGTTAATTCGTTCTGTTGGTCTGCTTTCAACCACTTGTTAACATCGTCTTCCTTTATTTTTCCACATTACGGCAGGCTCTTTACTAGTTCAGCGATCTCTTTTTCGTTGAAAGTTTGATTGGTACCTTCCTCTTGTTTTTCTTCCATCCACTCATCAAATGTTTTGTGGTCCAACAGCTTCCTCCATGACCTTACCATTGTTGTTGGTTTTATATCATCCCATATTCGTGCCACTCACAACATCACATCCAACATGTCCACTTTTTTTAGAGTCGCTGTAACGTTTTCTCGTTCATCCATTCCAGCAATCAATGTCGTCAGTAACTTTCATAGACTAGTTTTATAGATTCTATAACACCTTGGTCAATAGGTTGACAGAGGCATGTCACAGCTCAAGCTATCACCAGCAGACCCATCGAATAGGTACATTTAAATTTCCACAGGATAGATCGAATTTTTCTCAAAAAAAATTCATTGCCAAAACTCAAGAATACTTAAAAGTTATAGGCTCTAATTTAGAGCTATGTTTATAATTGTTGTATTTAATGTTTTTTTTTTAAACACGTTCGACAAATAATGTCGTCTGTCGACATAAATTTACTAAACACTCCACTCAAAGACCCCGATTTGTTTATTTTTAAAATTAATCGCCATGATCAAATCGAACTCCACGACGAAAAAATAAAACGAGAGGTGCAATTTCGCGCTGGTTCAAAAGGCAAATAAAATTTTAATCGTTTTACCATTTCAATTCTATTCCATTTCGTCCGATAATTAAATAGGAATTGTATCGTAGTCTAGTTGCAAATTAAGCTCAATATATCACTGCACATCGTTATTTTTTGGAAATGTAGTTGCAAAACTAAAATATTCGTTCCGTGTATCGTATCTCGTATTTTATTATGTACTTAATGGGCTTGTAAACGTTGATAAGACAAAAAAAAATTGGAAAGCATCCGAAAAATGTGGTTTTTGACGTGAAGCTTCTGGACTGGCGTTGTATTACTTTTTCTCCTTAGTAAAATGCTAAGGCGAGCGTCACGGAACTAGCGCCACGAGAAATCGTCACGGGTAGCCTCACGAAACAAATGTTTTCACATCGGTTCATTCTACGTCAATTCGATTTTAGTCATCACATATTTATTCTGGGTAGGTTTAAATTAAAAACTGCTTGAACAATAACTAACAAAATACATACATTAAATGAAAATTAAAAAAGGTCATCACATCATAAATCTACATCATAAATCATATTGACCCATGGACGTATAAACACAGATGGACTCAGTTATTTACATAAAATTGTGAAGTCAAAATTATTTGAATAGGTCACATTCTCAGCACCTTCAACTGTTGTCACGTTTTGTTTTAAAATTTCTTATTCGCGAGTCGCTGAAAATATTACTCCGTATT